AAAGACGTCCTTGTCCTCAGAGGAAATCCCAGCACAGTTATGGTAGTTGGCTGCACAGTATACCATACATCTGAGCAACAGAAAGTCGCCATCTAAAGCAAAAAGCCTTTGGAAATGAAGCATTTTTTTCTCACAGGGGACAGGCTTTGATACTTCGCAGAAGTCATCTGCACAAAGCGTGTCCTCAAAGTTTAAGTGGTTTACCCAGACTTCCACAAGAGGAATGGCAGCTATCATTGGTATCGGAGGTTTCTTATGTCATGCTAGGAGTCTATACAATAATAACTAAATATTTGTAGTTAAATAAGACAGAGCAGATTTCTGGTTTTAACATCTCAGCCAATGTTACTGGGAAGCAAGGACTTAACCCCTCTTTTTTCACATAGGCAATCCCTAAGCTGGGGGCAGGCAGGGAAGATTTTTTTTAACTGCCCCAGCATGATGTTGGTGTGTATTAGACAGCAGTGACTTCACTGCTGTTCACATAGCTACCAAGTAATATACATCACGAGTTCAGAAAAACTCCACCTGGGAAGTTACGTGTTAAAATACCCAATCAAAGAGGCTGAAGATCCAAGTGAAAAAGCTTTCCTGTCAGATTTCTTTGAGAACCTTCTCAGGCATATAATAAAATGTGCAAGGTAGAGGTGCATCATCACCTGTCAGCATGCTTAAAGCTGTTACCACGTCGTACATGGCATCCTGAGCCGGTGCTGATAATGATGCTCCTGTTACATTGCTGAGCTCTTTATTTCTAGCATGGTGGTGAGTATCTAGAGAGCACAGAGACCTCTGTCCTGAATTGCATGTTTTCTGCACAGTTTTGGGTATTATGGGTGTTTTCAATGTCTCCCTCCTTGGAGAGGACCAGCAAGAGCTGCTGAAAGACTCAAGACCCTTGAAACTTCATGGTTTCCTAAAGGGCTCCAAGAAATAATGTCCTTCCTGAGCCTAAACCATGATGGTCCACACTTTTATATAAATTTTGGGGATCATTTCTAAGAAGACTGAGAGCAAGTCCTGCTTTACAAGAGTACAAGACATGCAAGCATCCCTATAGCTCAATGTGTTTGTGGACTTCAGGCTCCTTCATGTGGTGGGTGGACACCAGCTTCTGGATGGGTCCTGGCCTCCTCCCAGTGCATTGCCTCTGTCCTGGCCTCTCTGCAGCCCAGCATAGAGGGGCCACCTTCTCTCAGGACGCTGGGGATCCCCCACATATGAAGAGAAGGTCCTGCTTTATAAGCAGCTTTCACACCCTGGAGAGCATGCTTTAATTGTGCTAAGCCAGCAGATCACTAGATGGCCTCATAACCTCAGTGATTTGAGCAGATCCAGGCTTAGCCTGTGTAATCGCCAGATTTATTTTTAAAAACCTGGCGCTCTTAAGTGCTGCAGGACTTACAATCATCACCTCAGGCAATGCACAAGAGCCTTTTCAAAATGCAGCGTGTGAAATTTGGGATGCTTTGTCCCACAGGGAAGCTAGAGAAAACCATGTTTGTCACTCTTGTGGTCAGAAGCTGCTTGTATTCCCTAAATCTTGGCGGATTGGACTGAAGATGGGGCAGAGGCCTTGGTGGGAGCTGTGGGAGAGCCACTAACCAGTGCAGCAAAACCAGCCCCTGCAGGGAAGACGGCCATGGGATCACAGCAGCAGACCAGCCAGCTGGGAACATAGGAACCGAGGTTCCTCCGCCAAGTCCAATTGTATGAGGCTGAACAAGGCCAAGTGCCGGGTCCTGTAACTTATCACAACAACCCCATGCAATGCTACAGGCTCAGGGAAGAGTGGCTGGAGGGCTGCCTGGCAGAAAAGGACCTGGAGGTACTGGTTGACAGCCGGCTGAATATGAGCCAGCAGTGTGCCCAGGTGGCCAAGAAGGCCAATGGCATCCTGGCTTCTAAATAGTGTGGCCAGCAGGAGTAGGGAAGTGATCATGCCCCTGTACTCCTCACTGGTGAGGCCACACCTCGAATAGTGTGTTCAGTTTTGGGCCCCTCACCACAGGGAAGACATTGAGGTGCTGGAACATGTCCAGAGAAGAGCAAACAAAGCTGGTGAGGGGTCTGGAGCACAAGTCTTATGAGGAGTGGCTGAGGGAACTGGGGGTGTTTAGCCTGGAGAAAAGGAGGCTGAGGGGAGACCTTCTTGCTCCTTACAACTGCTTGAAAGGAAGCTGTAGTGAGGTGAGGGTTGGTCTCTTCTCCCTGGAAATGGGTGATAGGACAAGGGGAAATGGTCTGAAGTTGCACCAGGGCAGGTTTAGGTTAGACATTAGAAAAAATTTCTTCACGGAAAGGGCTGTCAAGCACTGGAACGGGCTGCCCAGGGAAGTGGTCAAGTCCCCATCCCAGGAGGTATTTAGAAGATGGGTAGATGAGGTGCTTAGGGCCACGGTTTAGTGGTGGGATGGCAGGGTTAGGGTAACAGATGGACTCAATGATCTTAAAGGTCTTTTCCAACCTAAACAATTCTATGGTTCTATAACCACCTCCAGCCCCAGCCTGGCCTGGCAGCACCCTCAGGAGGAGTTTGGCCCTGGCCCTGGGCTCACCTGGGAGGGAGGCAAGCCCCCGCCCGGGCCGGATCCCCCTGTGGGATCCCTCAGCGGCGAGGCAGGAGGGCCTGGTTCCCTGTCCCACTGATGGCTGGAAATAGAATCATAGAATCATAGAATGTTTTGGGTTGGAAGGGACCCGTAGAGGTCATCTAGTCCAACCCCCCTGCAGGAGCAGGGACACTGCTAACTAGATCAGGTTGCTCAGAGCCCCGTCCAACCTGGCCTTGAAT